ATATATATATATATATATATATATATATATATATATGTGTGTGTGTGTGTGTGTGTGTAGACTGTAGAGATAGGGAAAGTGTAGACTGTAGAGATAGGGAAAGTGACAAACTTGGGTCAGTTTTGGCAATGTAGGCGGTGCCAGCAAAGTCACAAGAGCCAGGGGCCATACCCTTACGCTGGAAATAACTGTTGAAAGCATAGGAAGCGTGGGCTTGAACTGTATTAGGAAGATAACACAACCCAGATGGTTGTATAGGTGCACAGTCCGCACCAGCCCCACATGCATAGTCCAAAGAGGTCTGCAACGCCTGGTCGCCGGCATCGCTTCTGGCCACGCACCACGTCGCCGCCACGACAGTGGTGGTGAGGAACAGACCCACCAATAGGATTTGTATCGCCACCACCTTGTGCGGTGGTGCCATGGTTGGGACTTGGGAGTGTTATAAAAGGTGGTGAACTGTTGAGGAGCAACGTGTATTGGTTGTAGGTAAAGGAGGGGAGAGAAGAAAGAGAGGGGAGGATGGCTGTCTAGAGAGAGAATCGAGATGTTCTTCTTATTTTATTTCTTTGTTCTTTTTGTTCTTTGTTCTTTGTTCTTTTTTTTTTTTTGAATTACTTTTTCTTTTTGTGTTTGGATGGATGAAAGTTGTTGTTTAGGGTAATTCTATAGTATTGAATTTTTTTTTTTGGTGTTATATTAAAAATTATTATTTTTAAAAGTCAAATTGTACATCTTTAAAGTATAAGTTATACATTTTTAAAGATAATAATTTTTATGATCAATCATAATATTTTAGGATTAATCATACTTTTTACTATTATAATTTATATCTCAAAAATTTATAATATAATTTATAAAATTATATTTTTCGATACGATACCGTTAACTTTCTCACCCATTTATATTTGAATTGAGAAACTCCAAAAAGCCTAAAGGAGAAGGTCTAAGTTCAATTCTGAGTGATAATTAGAGTTTGGGCCACAAATACTGCATTTATATTTAAAATTCAACATTGTTTAGAGAATCTTTGCATAATAAGTAATATTAATATTGTTAAACTATCATCTATTTCAAAAATTTTAATTTTTTTTTGCGTGCAAACTATATTTTTGACATAACATGTGAATTTTTTTTAATAATTTGGGTGGTGACAAGATTTGGACATAAGACTTCTTATTTTGATATCATATTAAACAACTAGTTATTTCTTGTGTCTGAATGTACAGAGTAATACAAAAATGATAAACAATAAGCATATTTATATTCATATTCAAAATTAAATCACAAACATAAATGAGAGATAAATGAATTTAAACATCGATTTATAGTAGAGGTGAGAAATGGTGGGTGGTAGTGGTAATGGTAGGAGACAGTGATAGTTGTGGTGGGTAGCAATAACCATGGTGACGGCGGTTTCAAACACTATTTTTAAAAAAAAATTATTTATGAGAAATAATTTCTAAAAGTACTTTTAAAAATTAACTCTAAACACACCATTGGGACCCTATTTTTTCTATTAAATTTAGGGTGTTGATATTAACCTTAAAGAAAAATTTAAAACGATCTCAACCGCGAATAATAAAAGTCATTTTGTTTATCTTNAAAAAAAAATTATTTATGAGAAATAATTTCTAGAAGTACTTTTAAAAATTAACTCTAAACACACCATTATGGCCCTATTTTTCCTATTAAATTTAGGGTGTTGATATTAACCTTAAAGAAAAATTTAAAACGATCTCAACCGCGAATAATAAAAGTCATTTTGTTTATCTTTTGAGATTTAAATTGTAAGTTACTTTATTATATAGATTATCTATTCAAAAATCTTAAGTCCATAAAGAAGATATAACTTAAATATTTATACTATACAAAACATAGAATCAAACTAAAAGGCGACTCACTAAATGTTATTAATGCAATTTTTAATGGTCTGGATAATTTATCAAAAGTAAAAATCTTTGTTGNTTTTGAGATTTGAATTGTAAGTTACTTTATTATATAGATTATTTATTCAAAAATCTTAAGTCCATAAAGAAGATATAACTTAAATATTTATACTATACAAAACATAGAATCAAACTAAAAGGCGACACACTAAATGTTATTAATGCAATTTTTAATGGTCTGGATAATTTATCAAAAGTAAAAATCTTTGTTGATTACATACACAAGAGATCATAGTTGTTTTCATATTTATTTATTTATTTTTTTTCAAAAAAGTAGAGTTTGGGTTGGCAGATATGACAATCTGGTTTATTAAAGTATGCTTGTCATTATGATCACTTCTGTTTATATATCGTTACTTTGATGTTTTAATTAAAAAGTAATGTTATGATTATCAAAATAGTTTAATCAATCAGTATTCAGTGGGTCCGAGAATGATATAAAGTTGTTGATAAATATATTTTTTGATATGCATAACATTTTTCATTAATCAAATCCTATCGTTTCTTATAAAAAAGCAAAAAAAATTCCTTTAATCAATGGACAACGAGTGACTAAAAACGAGTTATTTACNTTTTTTTTTCAAAAAAGTAGAGTTTGGGTTGGCAGATATGACAATCTGGTTGGGAAGTGTTTATTAAAGTATGCTTGTCATTATGATCACTTCTGTTTATATATCGTTACTTTGATGTTTTAATTAAAAAGTAATGTTATGATTATCGAAATATTTTAATCAATCAATATTCAGTGGGTCCGAGAATGATATAAAGTTGTTGATAAATATATTTTTTGATATGCATAACATTTTTCATTAATCAAATCCTATCGTTTCTTATAAAAAAGCAAAAAAAATTCCTTTAATCAATGGACAACGAGTGACTAAAAACGAGTTATTTACCTATGTGCAACACTTTTTCAAACAATATTATTGATTTACGACACTTTTGAACCTATTTATCAAATTACAACACTTTTAATAGTGAATTCAGAATGCTTAATACCCTCTTTTTGTATTTAACTAAAACACCGATATTGACCTTAATTTTTTTTAAAAAAAAAAAAATCAAAATTTGGTAAATAAGTGCAAAAATACAATTGTTTGATAATATTGTTTAAAATTTACCGTATTCTGGTAAATAACTCAAACCAAAACTGATCTATTTTCTCGCTCAATAGGAGAAATAATATTTATATTGATAGTGCAAGATTTTTATAAAAGTACTTCTACCAGCCAAAAGCCAGGTATTTGCCTCGAGTAAAGGCTGCTAAATCTGCATAGGGCAAGGCATACAAGAAAAACAGTGGGTGGGTTATGTGCTAAAATTTCGAGGGCCCAAGGCATACCTAACATGCTGCACTTATGGTTCCTCTTATTCAGAACTTAATATGGCATGGTTTACTGGTAAAGAGAAGAGCCAACCTAAGAGAGAATGGAACCTTTCTGCTTGATGATTGAAAAACAGATAAGGTACCAGGGTTATGATATTACCAAAAAACCGTATATCATTGTATTAAACTTTAAAGATTTACATTTTTGAGATCAGCGCACAACAAAAAAATGGGTATAAATATTTCGTTAAACTTACCTCTCTCTCTCTCTCTCTCTCTCTCTCATGGGGTGCTGAATCCCCACTCTTTCAGAACCCCTCGTGTGATAAAATGTAGGTGTCACAACGAAGAACTTCCTAGGAAGACTCACATGCGTATGGGACGTAGTGGCCTCCCCTCATATTTTCCCAAATGTAACCATATGGTAACTGTACTCTTTCTCTCTCTCTCTCTCTGTGGACCTGGAGGATTAGCATTAGCAATCAAGAAATCAGAATAGGAGAAACTTGATGCAATTATCAAGCTTGCTGGCTATATGAGGATACATTAGCATAAGACATGATCGGAAGCAGCTATGAAATACAAATTGGAAACACCTGAAACAGTTTGAAAAGCATGAAATAAACTGAAAAGACTGTCAATATGTACCTTGGACAAAAGCAATACCCCACTCTGGGTGAGCAAATTTGTAAAACCTGGTTTAGACAGTTTGTAAGGATGCTTCATTGTACTACTATACATGGGTTTAGACATCTGCATTAGCAATGCGTAGAAGATAAATGTGTCCAACCAATTCATATGGTTTAACTTGTCTTTCACTAAAACTTGATCACATAAATGGGGATCATGACCTAATTATAGTCACGGGCATGGGGCAAGAACTCTCTATAGATTCCCAAATAGATCCCAAAGGTAGACATATAAATAATCTGAAAAGTAACAGATAACACTGTTCCTTATCATATAGCTGCACCATATTTAATCCATTAGGCTTCTTCGGCAGTGCAGTGGAAGCGTGGAACAATGTAATTTATTTAACCATCCAAAAGGCCAATGCTCATATTCTTATAACCATGTTGTGAACTTGGGAGGGAAACTAAGTTAGCTAAACATGAAGACTAGCTCCACTACAAAAAATGATCTGGCACATGATGTGTAGACGGAATATATCAAAGATCATTACAATGTCATACACCAAAAGCCCCCCCTGCTAATTTATGGACAGAGGCAAGAGCCGAGCTAACTGAAACGGAACCCTGCTGTTTCATGACTGAATAATTGATAAAGTCCCAGGGTTGAGACCAAAAACCCTATAAATTCTTGTATGGAACTTTAAAGATTTACATTTTGATACTTTGCACATAAAAAAAAATGGGTATAAATACTTTGGGATTGTCATAAACTTACCTCTCTCTCATGGGGTGCTAAATCCCCGCTCAACCAGAAGCGTGATAAAAATGAATAACAAATATATGTTTCAGAACTCCTCGTAGAATAAAATGTAGGCATCACAACGAAGAACTTCTTCCAAGGAAGACTCGCGCACGTAACCATCACTAGTGTAATACCAGACAAATTCTCCATTTTCTTTCTCAGGCTTCCCTAGGCTCTTTGCACCTCCTCTCACGTATGCAACATAGTGGCCTCCTCTCATATTCCCTAAATGTTCAACCACCCCAACCAAACGGTAATTGTACTTCTCTCTCTCCACAGACCTGCAAATTATAAGAGATTTTATCAGTCTAATGCAGGAGGATTTGCATTTGCAATCAATAAATTAGTATAAAAGAAACCTGAAGCAATTTTCAAATTTGCAGGCTATGTACGGATACATCAAGTCATCAACAAAACAAATAACTGGAACCAGCGTATAAATTGAAAGAAGCACAAATAACAGGTTGAAAAGCACGAAAGAAGTTCAAAACAGTACTGATAAATGCCTTGAACAAAAGCAATACACTACGAATCTTTACAGTTTGTAAGGATGTCCCATTGTACTATTTGGGTTTAGCACAAATAACAGGTCGAAAAGCACGAAAGAATTTCAAAACAGTACTGATAAATGCCTTGAACAAAAGCAATACACTACTAATCTTTATACAGTTTGTAATGATGTCCAATTGTACCACATGGGTTTAGACATCTGCATCAATATCATATAGAACTCAAATTTGTCCAATCCATTTACGTGGTTTAATTTTAAATTTAACTAATCAATAATTATGTAAATGGATCCTGACCTAATTATAACCACAGGCAAAAGGCATGAAATCTTATAGATTCCCAAAGGAAGAAACACAAATTATCTCCATAGTAACAGGTAGCGCTGCTCCTTATCTTGTAGCTGCACCATCTTTAAGCCATTGGGCATCTCAAAAGCACAAAATCAGTGAAAAGTGGTTTCACTCACCCTAACATCGAATATACAACATTATTGGTTATGCATAGTCCAACCTTGCAACATCCATCCTTTATTATTCCTGACTCTCTATATCAATCTTTTCATTTGTATACCAAAAAATCAAACATCAAATTTTTTGAGTAACAAAAATCCATACATTTAAGTTGATAACCGCATACGTCATCTTTTCACAGCAACAAAGTAGAAAGGTGTACAAACACAAGACTTGCAACCAAAAGAATACAACCACAAGAACACATTCAAGTATAAATTTTGTCAAGATTTCTACCCCTTTTCTCGAAGCAGACTATAGAACTCCCGTTTTACCTCAAGCAGCACAGAAAATCCAGATCATTTTATGCTAAACACTCGATTTTTCAGAGAGACACACAAGTGTGACAGCGAGAGGTTGTTTTGCCTTTATAATTCTGTAGATATACAAAGACAATCCCAAAACTATCCAAACATTCTATGGAAAATTCACTTTCTGCCACCTGTCCATCCGATATGCTTTTAGATATTAATCACTCGATAATATCCATTTTAGCAACCCTCCTATGGAAAAGAAATTCAATTATATCATAGGATCTCTATTGGTAATTTTCGTTGTTCGGTTATTTGGGATAACTATCTTAATATCATTGGCTATGAGAATTTGGCCACAACTTTTTTACTACTGAGAACTGCCCCAATCATGCGCTCTTTGGTACTCATTGCTATGTACACTTGTGGTGCATTTAATCACCCCCAAAGGATATGTATCGGGTCAAGCAACACATATCATGTGAGACTCAAACTTGAAACCTTAAGGTATCAATCACTCAAGTCCCATCATCTGAGATGCTAGATAGGTTGACTTGCCTCATATTTTCTAATCACATATAGCCCCGTATCAATTTCCATTTTTGATTCACTATCTTGCAGTAATTCTACAGGTCTTATGAACATGGGCTAAAAGTTTGGAAGAACAGACGTGATAGGCTAAAAGGATATATGGTTTATTTGAATCTAGAAGTTTATGGCTTAAAATATGTGCCAAGTCAGGATAAAATGTAGTACTATTTGCTTCTTCTATCATTGATGTTTGATGCTACGAGTAACGTTTAAATATGAATTAGGTAAGGCTTTCTTAAATCTTACCATTGATCAACCACATGAACTGATGATTCCTCAACAATAAATCACGTAAGGTGTGACAGAGGTCAATGAAGTTGATGTCTATACGCCAAAAGCAAATTTAGCCTGTAGTATGATACTCGGTGTAGACCGCAACTAATATAAGAAATGTTCACTTGCTGTAGTGTAAGCACATAACATTGCAATATTTTCCATGATTGATCCAACAAAAGGCCAAGACAATGACTTAGAGAAATCTACTTTTTTTGCCTTTTCTTTTTTGGGGTAATGGTGCAACACAATTCTACGCCAAAATTAACCAAATACTAAACAATTGGTGCCACATATTCGTAATCAATGACCACAAGGATCAAACTTTTATATATTTTCCACCGAAACGGCCAAAAAGTTTCAGTTTCCATGGATAACGAAACGAATCAGCCATTAAATATCAATTTTATTGTTTTTATTTTTGGTTTCGAGAAAAGCTTAAGAATTTATCAACGTGTTTTGGCAAAATTCAAATTTTTTCTCTATTTCTATCTTATTTCGGAAATGTTTATGAAACATTTTTGTTTCCGTTGAGGAGTTTACCAAAACAATGAAATGAAATTTGATCCTTGCATGACCATTTAGCAAGGACAACTACAAGGGATGTTTAATAATGCAACTGCATCAAAGAGAAACTGTGTTATGCAGGTAATGCCCAATTGAGAAACAAAACCCTGTTAACAAAGTTGTTGTGGAAATTTGTAAAGAACAAAGCTCAGTTTAGGATCTGGTGATCAAAAGTATGCATGGCTTGCAAGTCAGCAGTTAGCATGTTAACTCAGTTAACTCAAAGTCTCACTATTTGATGAAGATAATTAGTGGTCCACAGAAGAAGAGAGAAAATAGAGATCTTAAAAATCTGGCTCAATTCCACAGCAAAGAGTTACAAAGGAGATGATATTTGTTTTATATTCATATTCAGTAGACTTGGGCTAGAATAGAGTATATCAAGATAATCATAGTAATTTGCTTTTATGCTGTAAAAGGGGCTGCCATGATGTGTGTTTGTATTGTGGGCTTGCTTGTCAAATCTGGGTCAAACTTAGCTATCAAATTTGGGAGAACTTAAGCCTGTCAAGGGGTTCCAAATAAAGGAGCAAGTCTTCCGATCAAATTCCACCTAGTCTTACTCAGCCATCAACTCATATGTCGTGTACATATGTTTGCATTGGCCTTTTCAATTAAATAAAAGTATGAATGAAGATACGTGGCTAGGATGTATGATTCACCTTTTCTTGGGTGTAAGGTGCAAGAACCTAGGTGTGCGTTCCTTTTGTAAGGTCACCATGTGAGACCTAAGAGCCTACATCGGAGGGAAAGGCTTTTCTACCTTTATTCTCTTAGTTTCTCTACTCTATTTTTCTTCTTTGTCAACTATACAACTTCTAACACTTTCCTTTGCCTAAAACCAGATCTAGACTGCTATAATTTTGCTCCTATGTCCAAATAAAATGCCACTTCCAAAAAGAAAAACAAAAAAAAACCCAATAACCCCAATCGGCAAACAAGCCTAGAAATTATTCCTTTTGATTATTCACCTTAGCCACCAAAACAATCCCAAAATAGCTCCAACATACTGTGCACCAGATCTACATTGGCTCACAAATCTTTCACTTCTCCTGTCCTAATTTAGAGGTAGCCTTGCCCTGCATTCATTATTATCCTCACTATTTGTCACCTCTTTCAGGGTGAAACACTAGTTTAAACAAATTCAGCTTCCTTGGAAATTTACTCTTCAAGGGCATTCATGTTTCTTTTATCATAATTCAAAACATATTCCTAGTTGGAGGTGGATCGACAGTATACTTTCAGGATGAACTGTGGAAGGGAGACCATGCTTTTAGAGAATCTTTACTCCTTCATTGTACATTATCCGGGCCTTGCAAGACCAGTTTTGTCTTTGTCCTCCAAAACCATCCTTTTCATTCCTGGAACTTTCTATTTCTACTACAATGTCAATGATTAACTTATTGACACTTTTAACCTCTTCCCTTTCTCATGAGTTATATCTTTCATCTTCAAGTTGAAATAAGATATGTTGACATCTGTTCCATTGTTTCTTCTCTTCTAAGCCTATTCTTATTACCTTCAAAAAACTAAAAAACCTTCGTTTGACAAACTTGCCTGGAAGGCCCTGATAACTTTTAACTTAAGCTTTTGGTTTCGTCTGTAGCTGTCAGAATAGGTAACAACTATCAGGTTTGTCTGGATAGAAGACCTCTTAAAGTTCTGATAATCCCAATTTTCTTTAGTTATGTAAAACAAGCAATGATACCTACAACCATCTTTGTTCCATTGCATTGTGTCTTTGGCACTTTTGCACAGGAAGGCACACCAATGACATACTACCAGCGATGTTGAAGCGTTACTTGAATCTTCATTCTAATCTAAATATTAGGTAAGACAGCATCAGTCAAAATTTATGGCATACAACATAGTGGCTGGGGTTAGGGTTATTTGGATTGAAAGGAAGTACACTTTTTTTTCCAAAAACCAATGATGTTTGGATGAGGAGAGCTAGAACAACATTCAGTTATTGGATTCTCAATAGGCTACGGTTTCCAAAGTGTCCAAAAATGAGCCATTGTGTATGTTCTGACTGCAGAGCAGTTCAGGGCAGCAAGCCTTTCGAGTTTGCAATTTAAGTATTCCATCCATTAGTAGATGAGTCCGACAGAAGCTGAAGCTTAACTTTGATGGTTGCTCAATCTGGGTCAGATAGAAACCCACTGCATCAGGTAAAATATTGGGATTACTATATTTAAGTCCTTTACACAAACCGGCGGAGGTCATGATACCAAGGCTTAGATCTGAGCCCTTTTCAAAGCTCTGAAGTAAGCATCTAGTATGAAATATAGCACTGTCTAGTCGAGGGTGGCTTTGTTGAGGTTTTGGAATGGGTTAGATCCCAAGCTGTTGGCCCTTATTGCAGATGCAGTCACCTTTTGAGAGAATTTTAAATTTTTCATTTTCTCTAAACACAGAGACTAGATGAATTTCTTGGTTGGGCAATGAGAAGTAGACTTGTTAACTAATTGGGAGGCTTCCTCCTGACACCTTGGCAGAGTCACCTTTTCCCTCCCTCCTTTGAAGGTAGGAAGCCGTTTGGCAGGTGCTGGGTTTGTTTATTCATCCAAATTCAGTGTCGCTTGTGGCTAGGGGATGGGATGGGGATGCTTCCTCTTAGTTGATCAAAGGATAGTTGTCATCAATAAAGATTTTCTAGTTCCTTATCCAAAAACAAAAATGGGGCAACAAGAAAGGGACTTGTTAACTAATTGAAAGGCTTCCTCATGAACTCCTTTGCAGAGTCATCTTTTCCCTCCTTTTGAAGTCCGTTTAGCAGGTGCTGTGTTTGTTTATTCTTTGGGTGTCCGAATTCAGTGTTGTGTATGGTTAGTGGACGGGATGGGCGCTTTCTCTTAGTTGATCAAAGGATAGCTGTCGTCAATAAAGATTTTCTAGCTTCTTATTCAAAAACAAAAAGGTGAACAGGAAGAAAAGAAGCCTCATACACGTAGCTGCCCTCATTTTCATTTTCTATGGTCGTTTCCACACAAGTCAACTCATTTCAACAATGCATTTTCCAAAACTACTCGAGGTCGGTTACATGAATCATGTTTTTCCCATTATCACAACACAATGTTAGTATCAGTGCACAAGAGATGTACTGAAAGGTTTCTCCTTCCTAAATTCAACTTCATCAAGGAGCAATGATGCAGAAAGCCCTAATTTATGTGCTGCTAGTTTATTTTTCTCCTGATCACCTTATAACAAACTCATTTCCGTTGAGATGGAAGGAAGACATGTAAAAGAAGCAAAGTAAATCACTAATTAGCACACAGAACCACTATTATTCCATAACCATATAATCTCACACAAAAAGCATAGACAAGGAAAAGTACTTGGAAGACAAGCAATGCCACATATTGTAAATAATCCCATACCCTTGGGATGTACAAAGAATATGCATATGATATACAACCTAGTTTCAAATTTCTCATTCTAGTGAACAATTAATTTTCTAGCATATTCACACCATTAGACAATGAAATTTGGTGCTCAGGTTCAGGGCAGATTTCTACCCCTCCATCGCTATGAACAAATTTCAGCTATATGCATCTAGCCATCTACTTATAAAATTTAAGTAAATACCAACGAGGTCACGAAAAACCAATAATAATACATCATCCTTCAAGCCAGAACAGAAAATTTGACAGTGAAGCAGGAAGAATAAACCTTTATTTTAATAGATAAGAACTAGACATAGTTTTTTCCCAAATACTGAAACAGGATTAACCAAATAATTCCCATAAAAGGGGTTCTTAATTAACTAAAACAAATTGCACAAGAAAAACATGAGCAAACATTTAACTACTTCACAATGAGTTCACATGAATGGTAAAATCGCACCTGGGATCCATGTATGGCTTGAGATCAATTATGTCTTTGAAAACCACATGGCCATTAAGTTTACTTAAGCGACCTCGACCATCTTGGCTGAACCTCTTCAGATGAAAGGTCAAGACAGGTGGAGCCCTATTAATGAGGATCCTTTTAGTTGCATCCCTCTTCACTTTAACAGTCTCAGAATTTGTCTCTTCATCCTCAATGTCATCCTCATTCTGCACTTTATCAGTGTTGCACCCAGCACTGCCAGGCTCATTAACACTGCAAGAATCACAGGCTTGACAGCTAGGTTTATACCAACTTGAAGACTTCAATAGACTGGGAAGTGCATCGTCCATCTCAACTTTTCCGTTGACCAACTGGGAAGTTACCAGGTTCGACTCAGCTTTCTGACCGGTTTCAAGTGTGCAGCTCCGCATAGAATTTATTGTTCCATTATGTAATGACAAGCTTTCATCAGAAGTATCAATTGCATCTCTTTTGATATCTCCATTAATAAGGTTGCTGGCCTCAGTAGGCAAAAGGCAATCCTCGCTAAAACCCAAAGGAGCATTTGGATTTCTATTCTCTCCTCCACTTACCACCAAACTTGATGTAGGTTTCTGCAGTTTTTTCTTCAATTTCATCCTTTGTTCATGTAGAGCTTTTGAACAACTTTCACATTGCCAAGCATGCTCATTTTTGGAGAGAAGCTCTGGCTTTGTGAAATGAGCCAAACAACTATCAATGGAAACAGGAGAATCAGTATGATCAACCTCATCTGGATCAGACTCGCTGCTGTTTTTGGCCAAAAAACCAACATCCGCAACCTCATTTGCCTCAGTAGCATTGTCACTTGACAAGGGCTTCACACTAGGTCCTGCAGCAGCCTCAGGTTCATTAAATAAGTCTCCAAAGCCATCAAAATCTAACAAATCTGGTTCACAACCAAGAGCTGACGAGGAAACCTCACCGTCTCCTCTCGATATCTCACCACTAGCTGAGGTATCTTCTTTGTATGGAAGCAACAGAATTTCAGAATGTTGCACCTGTAATGGAGCCTCATCTTCCCAAAAATTCTCGGAATGATCCACTTTAAGATTTGATTCCATAGAACAAACCTGACTGCAAGATTCTAAGCTAAGCTTTTCAATAACCTCACCCTGAACAGTATCCTTATTTTCAGAAGCTTGAATTTCTGAGGCATCATTGCTTTGTGATACCATAGCATTGCCATCTGACAATTTATCTGGTTCACAGTAATCCAACCATATCAAATCACCTGATGAAGGTGCTGTTCCCTCCGTATATATTGGATGAATCTCCTTACTAGTTTCTACTGTATTTTCAACATTATTCTGAACACCATCCTTATTTCCAGAATCCTGAATCTCAGAAATATCATTAATTTGTGAAGCCATATCCTGGGAATCTGAAATTGCCCCAAGCTCGAGATAATCCATCCACATCGAATCATGGCGTGAAACATCCTCAAGGAATTGCTTGTTTTCAGATTCTTGAGTAGTTGAGACCATATGCAAAGCTGAACCATTGCTGTCGGCTGCAGTTGGGGCAACAGACTCCAAAGATGTAGAATCACCTGAAAAAGCCACTGTGTTTTCTGCCACAGGGTCACCAGACTGTCCTTGCCAAGAAGACTGGCCACCAATTGACGGATCTGAAACAGTCCGACCTAGTGAAGGATTTGCATCTCTGTGAACTTTTGAACGAATTCTTCCACTTCTCTTTGGAGGAACTTTTGGTTTCTTGGCTTGTGAAACTGGTTGTGCCTTCTTAGACAAAGGTTTCTTAGTTGGAACTGGCAGTGAAAGATCCAAAAATGGCTCATGAACTACTGAAGAATGTCCACATTCCAAACAAGTCACAGTACTAGAGAGTTGTCCACCAAAGATGGTATCTATAAAAGTAGAAGGCGGAGATGGAGACTTCCCAACTTCCTGAGAAGATTTAGCTTGTTTTCTTGCAGCTGAGTCTTCAGCATACAACCCATCAAGCAAACAACGAAGCAATTCATGACTATCATGCAGTTGATATCCCCTAAATTGGGGAGCCTTGGCACAAAGACACCCAAAAAGGGATCTTGGATGTATCACATTTCTCAAGCCACTCTCTGGACTTGTCTCACTGAAGAGCTTCTTCATGGAGACAGTAAGGGGCCCAACAGTTTCTTCCAGTTTCAAGAAATAATCCCGCAACCTATCCATTGCCAAAAGATTCTGCATGACTGAATTGAAGAAACAAGTGTTCCCCAAATTAACCAGACCTCTAACAACATAACCTCCGCTATCAATACTAGTTGATACGATGTTTTCTGATTTCATCTCACTTGTGACACTGCCATTCCCAAACCAGACATTCTCAGCATCCAAGTTTGAGTATCCTTCAGCTGGTTGTCCTTTTATTAACTTCACAATGTCATGCAACACATCTTTCTCTTTACTATTCTCTTCTGATTTTTGAACAGGAATCAGTTTACTGCACGGGAAACACCATAACAGATAGGGGTTTTCAAATTGGACGGCCAATGGATGTCGGTTTTGTTTGGCATGCCGAACAGCATGGCTCTGAGGTGTGGTTGGCAATCCAGCCCCTCCACATGAAAAATGTCCACACTCCAAACAGACCCAAATGGCTTTAGAATTTGATTTTGAATCCACAGACCCACCACCTCCCTTATTCTTTCCATGCTTACCTTTTCCCTTGACTGCCCTTCTATCAACCACGCCTTCCCTACAATCTTCACATCTAATGGGTTCCGAAGACCTAAGCTTCGAAGAAAGTTTATCCAAATCAATACCCTTATCAAGATGGGCACATGTCTTTCTCTCTTTTACAGCTGAAACAGCATCATCAGCAGTCTCAGCGCTTAGAATGCTCGGTTGGGAGACAGTTGTTGGAGAAGCAGTAGAAACTCGCTTCTCCTTCTGAACAGTGCGTGTCTTCTTCTTCACCTTTTTCCCCATTAAGGCCTAAAAACCAATCCTAGAAACCTCTCAGCACTTAGCCCAAAACTGAAACACAGAATAAGAACGAAATAACAATTTTGAATAAAGTCATACACAATAAAAGCACAAATTGAAAACGACAATCAACCACCAGAAAAGCAAACAAAAAGAAAGAAAATAAAGGAAAAGTCGATCAATAAGGAGAAATCAAACCAACCCTATAATCCTATAGAAACTACCAACCCACATATTAAAAAAAATAATAAAAGAAAACAAAAGATATTCCAAAAACGTATAGATTGAGGAAAAGTAAAAGAACACATTACAAATTATAATTATTAAGAGATACCCAGATTGAGTTTTGGATTGAAAAGCAATCTTAAGTGTCTTAGAGCTATAGTAAGTGCGAAGAAAAAAAATACAACAATAAGCAATATAGAAGGAATAAGAGGTTCACCTGGAAATATGGGGAGAAAAGCCAAAGATTGCTTCAATAACCTGAATATGGAGAAAAAGAAGGTGGACGATTAGGATCTTATGAGACAGAGAGAGGGTTCAGTGGCGCACCCTCTGATCCTCTGCTACTCTCTGAATGCGAGAGGAGAGAGAAACAGAGGGCTGTTAATGGAGTTGGAAAAAAACAGTGGTAACTGAAATGGTCAGGAGGGTTTATCCTACTAGTTGGGGTTAAAAGTTAAAAACTGTGATTCAATATAAAAAACATGTGGGCTTATCCCATCCAATTCGACCCGAAAATATATAGGCATAAAATTTGATAATTTTGATAGTTGACCGACCGAGTTCGAACCCAATATTCTTTAAGAAAGAATTTGAGTTTATTCTTAAATTCATTACTCGGTTCGAAGCCCAAAACTTGGCTCAATAACCCGCCCAAATATCGGGTCCAATAATTTGTCCACATATCCGAAGCTCGAAGCCCATACCCGCCCATATATGTTTTTTTTCTTTTTATCAAACATATATGTTTATATTAAAAGGTGGAGACTTTAGATATTAAGACTGATGCATTTTTTTTCATGTATTAAATATTCTAGTTTTTCATGTACAAAAACTTTTAATGGGTAGAATTGTGCAAATGATAGATAGGTGAGTAGGTGCCAACTTAATTGGGATGAACTCATTCTATAATGATGCAATTTCTCTTCTATTCATTTATTAAAATTATTTGTTATTTGATTTTGACTATACTTTTAATTCAAAAATATAATTTATAAAAAAATTAAATAATGTTGTATATTTTTTCAATAAGACCCAACAAGCTCACCCAAACAGGCCCGCCCAACAGGTCCAACAAAAGCCCGCCCAGAAAGCCGTCGCAAAATCCGCCCAATAGGTGACGAGCTGGTTGCGGGTAGCTTACTCTTACCCGAAGTTCGGCCCAGCCCATGGATAGCCCTAGAAACTTGGGTTAATTCATAAAATTATTTTCCTGGAAAATGTCTGTAATCCCATTGCCTGAGGAACTAGGTTTCATAAACAATATGGTTTTTTTTTTTTTTGGTGTGGGTAGGGCCTGATAATCGAGTCGAGTTTTACAAACTCAAGTCAAGTCTATCGAACTCATTTTTTTAAACAAAGTTAAAAAATTGTTTAAATTCAATTAGTTTAAAAAATGAGGCGAGCCCAAAACGAGCCGAATTTAAGCCGAACTCAAATAATTTGACTATTTTACATATAAACGAGTCAAATTTTATGAGTTCGAATTGAGCCTTTTAAGCTCATTTTTCTAAATAAGACTAAAAAATTATTCAAGCTCGGCTTGTTTAGAACACGAGTCAACCCCGAATCGAGTCCTATTCGAACCGGGTCTAAGTCAAACCCAAATAGTGCGATTCAATTATCAACACTGTGTGGGTTGGGGTGGGGGAGGGTGGGTTATAATCTCACATTCCTACTCTTTTTGGTAATTATACCAAAAAAAAATATATATTGACATTCTATGTTACTTTTTTCTAAAGTCTAACTATAAAATTGGAAAAATTGATACAGTATATAAATGAAAATTTGATGAAGTATCACTATATTATCATTGCTATAATATCATTTAGAAATAATTTATATGATGATATAAGATTAGCAAGCATTGATTTCTCTTTTGGAGATTTTTTAAATACAAACATTGGACTAAAATGAGTAGTAACAATTATCTTGACATCTAAGAGCAACTCCAAAAAAGCTAGCTAAAATCCCCTTTTTAGTTATTTTAGATTGCTTCTTCCTAAAATGTGGCTCCAATAGACTAGCTATTCCCCTATCTAATTCTTATAACCCCATTTTCACTAGCTACATCTAACTAGTCACTTCTCACTAGCTACATCTAACAAAACCCCCCAAAAATTCAGTAAACTCCCCCAAAAATTCATCAACACCCCCAAAAAATTCAACAAAATCTTCCAAAAATTCAATAAACTTCTTCCAAAAATCTGACTTCGGTTATTTGTATAATTTAAGGTAATTTTGTTTTAAATTTTGTGATTTAATTTGAGAGAATTTGGTTTGGGAGTAGTAATTTTCGAGATATGGGTTCTCTCTTGTAGCCTATAATTGATTAAATTTGTACAATGTATAGTTGAATTGCTATTTTTTGAATTTTATTATTGAAAGTTAATTAAAATTAGTTGAAGTGGTTAGCTAAAATAGATAGTGTTGTTAGAGTGAATTTAAAAAAGTGATTAGTTAAAGTAGATAATACAATATTTAAATATATTTTGAATAGCTATTTTAGATAGCATTGTTGGAGATGCTCTAAGTAGGGATTTGATTTTGGTGGGTTAATTTGAGTTCAACCTCAAATATCCATTAAATACTTGTAAAGAAATTTTTAGCACTTGGGTTGAATTTGAACAAAATCATTCTATTCAGATTTAAATTAAGATAATATTTGAGTTAGAGTATTGAGGGTCTGTTTGATTTTTGTCTCAAAAATAGTATATAAAAAATGTTTTTGTGAAGAGTTTACAAAACTGCTTTTGATATTTTTTGTGTCACAAAACTTGTTTGTTATATAATTTTAAAAACAATTTTACAGAATAGAAAATATTAAAACTTGTTTGGATAGTAACTCAAAAAATAATAAAAATAGAAATATGATGGTGGTGGTATGGTGGATGTGGTGAGGGCGGTGGTGGTGGGAATATGGTAGTGGTGGTAATGGTGGAAGTGTGATGGTGGTGGGAGTGTGGTGATGGTGGTGGTAGAAGTGTGAGTATGGTGGTTGTGGTGTGGTGGATGTGGTGTTGGTGTTGGTGATAGTGATGGTGATGGTAAGGGTAGTGGTGGTGGTGGAAGTGTGGACGTGGTTGTGGTGTGGTGGATGTGGTGTTGGTGTCGGTGGTAGTGATGGAGGCTGGAATGTGGTGGTGGTGGAAGTGTGGTGGACGTAGTGTTGGTGGTGATGGGAGTGTGGTGGTGGTGTTTACTAAATTCTATAAAGATTATTTTCAAAACTACACAAAATAATTCTAACTTGTTCTCTAATCTACTCAACTTTTGTTCTTGGTTTTCAAAAAACAAAAATAAAAAGAAATTAGTCAAACAACTTTTTTTCTAGAAACTGTTTTCGAAAACATAAAGTAGTTTTTAAGAAGCAAACCAAACATGGAATAGTTTTCAAGATCAACCTTAATTGAATTATTCTATACTTTCACCCTGAGGTAAGCCCAATTTTCAAACTTGTGACAAGCAACCTTAAAATTTTTTCGACTTGAATCCACTTAAACCCAAATTTTAGCTCAAATTATATAAAAAAAACTTCAAAATTTTAAATATGATCAGTGTTGGGTTGAAGGATTTGAATCGATCCTTGGTTAAGAGTCACGTGGGATCTCCAATCTTCACATATGACATATCCCTTGGTGGCATGAATAATTATTACTTATGAAGCACAAATATTTTAATTAGATTCTCAATAATACAATATATATATATATATATATATATATATAGTTTCAGATATGAGTGTCTAAGACGAATATGCACAAGATATAAAATGAAAACAAGTAGGAGATATGTTTAATTTTTACTCTTTCTACTCGAATTCACATGCAATCATACACAAAGAAAATCAATACGACTTTGAATACATGTGGATGTTTTTTTGATTATTATCTATCATCACATATCATAGAGTGAGTTAATTATAATATCCTATCTGTTGAATAAGTAATAAGTAATAAGCAAATTAAATAGCTTGATAAATGGTAGTTCTAGTTCTTTTAGTGTTTTTTTTTATCGGTTCTTTCTTTTAGTTAGACACATTCATTTTGCAAATATGTTGTGATTAGACAATCTATGCTTATTTGATAGTAAAAATTACTGTTATGTTGAATTATTGTTGTTTTATTTATTAAAACCTATAATTATCAAACGATCATTATTAAATGCATCCCAATCGTATCCATATATATATTTTTTTAAATTTCATTGTATTATTATATTCGTATCATATATATATTTTTACTTTTTTGATCGTTACTACTTTCTTCATCTCTCATCTTCTTATTCTTTAGAAGAAGTGCTTGAATTTTGCATATATAGGGAAGTTATCGGATAACCCACGCCAATAAAAAAAATGTCTAGGGCATCTCTCGCAACGCAAAGGAGCATTGTTCGCCATTACCTGAGAAGCAAAAGATTTAAGAGTCCAGGCTAAAAATACATGCATAGATAATGGTCTAATGACAAAACTGGCGATGGAAGCTCGGGACAAAGCCGTATGATGCGAAAGTCTCATGTACGGTTTCCTAAGAAAAGAGTGGCTACTTATTGGAGTTTCGACCAACCACCACTGGTCAATTTCAGTTTGGGGCCACCCCTTATTCTACCATTATTATGGGGGTATGGGGTTCGAGACAGAAAGATCAAGACAACATATCAGTTTTACTTTTTTGATCGTTACTACTTTCTTCATCTCTCATCTTCTTATTCTTTAGAAGAAGTGCTTGAATTTTGCATATATAGGGAAGTTATCGGATAACCCACCCCAGTAAAAAAGATGTCTAGGGTATCTCCTGCAACGCAAAGGAGCATTGTTCGCCATTACCCGAGAAGCAAAAGATTTAAGAGTCTAGGCTAAAAATACATGCATAGATAATGGTCTAATGACAAAACTGGCGATGGAAGCTCGGGACAAAGCCGTTTGATACGGAAGTCTCACGTACGGTTTCCTAAGAAAAGAGTGGCTACTTATTGGAGCTTCGACCAACCACCACTGGTCAATTTCAATTTGGGGCCACCCCTTATTCTACCATTATTAGGGGGGTATGGGGTTCGAGACAGAAAGATCAAGACAACATATCAGTTTTTCTTTTATATTTTACTTAGATCTGTTTGATGGAATTTTTTCATATTAGACTTGCATTAATTGATAGTTAATTTTGGGTTTGTGAAAAACGGGTTGAATTTATGGTTTAATGAGATGAGTTCAATATTGTTAAGTGATTTATTTTGATGGATTTATGTACATCTTTTAATTAATGTGGTAGAGGCGGTTAATGTGATGTTTGATAAAACTAAAAGCTGAACACTGAAAACTGAGAGGTCGTTTGGTAACGTTTTTATTTTTGCGTCTTCACAAAAACTAAAAACAGAGACAAAATTGTTTCTATTTTGTGGTAAATTCTGAAACAGAAAATATGTTTGGTAGTCATTTTTGTCTATCAAATTATGAGAATAAAAACAGCAAACATGTTTTGTAACTACCGCAAATTTTATCATAAATATGTTTGATAATATCTCATATTTTGTTTTCAAACAAATCAATATTTTATTTCTTGAAAAATGATTTACAACCATGCATTTTTTTTTTTAAAGAAAAGCAAAAATTTTATTAATTGAAATTCAAGAATTACATGAATCAAAAAACTAGAAAAAACTGTTACAATGGAAAAACGGTAATTTTCTGTACAACTTTGTTCAAGTCCCCTAGGTCTACCTTCTGTCCACTTGTTACAACTCAATACTTGAACCTTTGGATCTTCTCCAAACTTCTTTTAAAATACTGTAACTGCTATGATTGCAGCACAACAATGTCGCAAAAACAGCACAACAATACTGTTCAGCACATTCCCAGAAATGCTCCACAAGAGCTGGCTTTAATCCTTCAAGAAGAATTAAAGCTAATTAACTTCCAACCACAGACCAACAACATCCTGTTGCAAAAGCAAAATCCCCAATACAGATCATCACCATGCCTTAAGTCTATCATCACCAGACTCTAAGTTCCATCACAAACATCACAGCATCAACCCAGACTAAATGCAGAAACAGACCAGAACTCTGGTTACTGTCCATACATTCACTCCAATCATCACTGCACTTCTGCCCACACAAGCATCATCATCATCCAACCCCGTGCCTTTGCTCACAAACAAGCATCCTCTTCAATCTAGCAATAAGCATCATGCCCTGGTCCTGCTGCAGAAGTAATCTACCTGCAAGTGGCAGCATTTGACTTTCAAAAAATTCAGAACACCTTCCAAATTGCACTACATAAGAAGCCAAAAAATCTGCAAATGTATTAGCCTCCCTATATACATGTCTCAACTAGAAATGCAAACCCCCAAGAATTATCCATATTTGTACATTTTACAAACAACAACCCCAAACAGCTAAGAGAACTTTAGACCAAAATATCAGCCCAAATCCACATACACCAAAAGATTGTTCATGCTAAGCATTTGCAAACAGGACTTCCATTGTCAAAACCTCTATCCAGCTGCTGAATCCACAGAACAAACCTACTGGCCATTTATCATAAACCTCCTCTTACTTGCATTAGGCTTCTGGGCTTGATCTTGCTGCAACAACATTTTTCCAGCCAAAGGCAGAATACCAGTAGCTGAAAAATCACTAAAGCAACCAGTTTTAACTACAATAGAAGCCAAAAAATTAGAATTCTTTTCAATCTCCAAGGCATTTCAGCATGCCCTAACACCATTTGAATTAGAACCTGAGAATCAGACTCAAGCACCTTCGACATTGAGCTTTAACATACACACAGGTGGGGGTTCCCATTTAATCCATTTGATTTTTGTAACCACAGAAAAAGGAGATTCAATCCTTAGATCCCTCAACATCTCTAAACCCCAGAGAGTATCCATCTTCCTGGTCTTTATCATAAAGACCTGCCACCTCAAGGCACTAACTACCTGCAAGAAAATAGCATAAGCACCAGATCCTCCAATTTCAGATTGCAGCTCAGGAGTAAGCCACTCATCAACCTCCTCCAAATGCCATGCATTATCAAACCATAAATCACTGACTTTAGAAACGATTAAAGGAGCAACTTTAACTGCATTCACTAATACAACTGCAATTGGTGTTCTTTTGTTTGCCATTTAATATGGCGTGCACCAATTTCTTCACATTAAATAATTGGTTATAGTTTCAACCATTGGATCTTTTCGAAAATTTAACTGCATTCACTAATCTAGCAATCTAATTTGGTTTAAATTTTAATAACCATTTTGCTAAGTGCAACACTATTTTTTATTTTTCTCAATGGAGTGATGGATTTGGTTTAATAAAGAGAGGAGATTAAAATTGCCCTCTAGTTAATTTGACTAGACTCCAAGTCATGTCTAGAACTTTCGTGGGTCGAGCTGGCCTGTGGCAGATCAATGACTTAGTAAATCTAGTCCGATCTCTAACCACTCAAAAATAAGCTCAGCCCAATTCAAGCCTGAGCAATCATAAGATGAAAATAACACGAAGCTCATTGAAAAAAAAAGTGAATATACCAAAAGTGGGTAACCCTTAAGTGCTCAGACAAACCCACATTGCTCATTTGGTGATTTTTTTTTAATTGAATATATTATGTAATTCCACATCTCAATTTTCAAGCAAAGCTTGTTCCAAATAAAAATAAATAAAATAAAAAATACATGTAAAACATGGGAGTTGTTGTCAAATTTGACCCAGAGAAACCGTGGCTTCTTCATAGTCATTCAAGAAATGAAGCCAAACGCAAATCATGGCACAAAGCAAGGGTCTGTAATATACATAATCACATATCTATGTAGATAAAAAAAATACGATTAAAGCACAAAACCATACAGATCTATGTAGATAAAAAAATATAGATAAAAAAAGAGATTAGGGTCGGTAATGTACAGATCTATGCATATTGTTAGAGTATGTGTGACTCATATTTGCTGTGTGCATAATGGTAAGGAGGCAGATGCCAGAACGAGATTTGTATAAAGGGGACGCTGATTAGTTGGGGGTGCCGGGGGCAACGCCCCCGCGGTACGGTACAGGGGTATTTTTATAAATACGTCCGTATTAGAGTTATATAACTACTTAAGATATAACCCTACTTTGAATAATGAAACTTGAGATAGTTGTGAATGAAAAGGGATACTCAAATTAAGAGTAGAACCCCGTATATATATCCAAAAATAATACAGAGTGACTTAAACATCCTTGTAGTTTAGGCAAAATATAAAAATCATAGTAAGGGTAAAAAAGGGAAAAGAAATCCTAATAAACCTAGACTATCTATACTCCAACACTCCCCCTCAAGCTAGGCGCAAAAATGTCAACTAAGCCAAGCTTGACAACGGAGTCCCGAAGAATAGACAGAGTGACAGGTTTGGTAAAAACATCCGCAACTTGATCACTGGTCCCCACAAACGATGGAGTAACAAGACCACTGCTGACCTTCTCCCGAAGAAAGTGAACATCGATCTCTATATGCTTCGTTCTCTCATGTAGTACAGAGTCAGAAGCGAGCTGAATAGCAGATTGATTATCACAATATAATGTGGATGGAGAGGTCACTGAAAAACNAACGATAAAAAGATCGTCCATTGTTTCGTTTGGTCCTTGCGACCAAAATATTCATGTTCCTAGATCCACACGAGCATGGAGAGCCAATACGTGTCATTTTAACACACCTAATTACATCAACATCAACAAGTAAAAATTAGTCATATAAGTATTAAATTCAATATAACAATGCAAGTGTTAACACATTTTTACTATCATAATAAATAATAATATTAAGACATGTATCAATGGTGAGTTGATGCCCACAATTGATTAGCACAACGATAAAAAGATCGTCCATTGTTTCGTTTGGTCCTTGCGACCAAAATATTCATGTTCCTAGATCCACACGAGCATGGAGAGCCAATACGTGTCATTTTAACACACCTAATTACATCAACATCAACAAGTAAAAATTAGTCATATAAGTATTAAATTCAATATAACAATGCAAGTGTTAACACATTTTTACTATCATAATAAATAATAACATTAAGACATGTATCAATGGTGAGTTGATGCCCACAATTGATTAGCAATTGTATCTCTAACACAAGCCATTTGACGCAGCTGACTCGGACTTATGTCTAATTCTATTGGGACCTGTGAACTAGATCCAGCAACAGTTCTTTCATTATCAACAAGTTCTCTTCTTTTCCAGTTGTCAAATAACTGATCTTGACGAGAATGCATTATTGTGAAGTTATGCACTGTATAACAAGATGTGGGAATGTATTTTTGTGTGGTTAAGGGATATGGAGGCATTAGCTTCAAAATGAAAAAATGAGTCTTTAGAACTCCAAAAACAACGCCCTATCACATTCCAAAGTGAAGAGTATCGATGATTGAATAATTCTTCTTTACCGATTAGTTGTCAACCCTTACCTCTATAATCACGCAAGTGATATCTCTCACCACAATACGGGAACAGAAAATCAAGCATGTTTGTGTAGTCCAAATCCACAACAAAATATTTATCCTTTGGCGGCATTGAAAACTTGTTGGATGGATTAGCAACACACTCAACAAATATTCTTCAGTCATGAGTAGTACCCTTCTACCCACTCATCACAAATTAAAGCGTATGTCAAAGGAACATGCACATATTACATTTTGAGTTAGTACAACACATTTCCCACAGTATGGTATTTGTGAATCCGTTGGAACACGTGCATCAATGTGGGTGCCATCAATGGCACCAACACAATTCTTCAAAGAAAACGAAAAACACATGAATGACATTGAAAGTAGTATTTTGTTACAACATATATTGAAAATCCAGCCAACACTTACCTTAAAGAAAGGGTAATATCTTGGGTTAAAACGAATCTGAGGTTGAACCATACTAAAATCGGGAGGGATGATGATATCAACTCCAAGTTTACAAACTGTTTTGAGAACACGATTAAAGTATTTGGAAATAGTCTCCCCCAAATGTTGAAACCTTTTAACTACTATGCGATTTCGCTCATTATGTGATATTGTAAGTAAAAATATAGCAACTTTTTCTTGCACGGTTATAAACCTAGAGTGTTTCAACCCTTTTTCTTTTAATGTCTCACACAGCAATACGAACACAGGTGTGTCCATTCTAAATTGCTCATAACACCTACTTTCATGTTCATGTAATAGTTCCAACATGTAATCATGTCTTTTAAGAGCAAACGTTCTACATGGTCGTTGTGATGTATTGTGACTACTTAATTTTATTGCAGTCAATAAAATAGAAGTCTCATCATCACTATCTAATATCATATCAAATTCGTCATCTGAATTTATTATTGAATATTCAAGTTTACATGTAATATCCATACATAATGCACTTATCAGGCATTTATCACAACACATTATAAATACGCATAATAATTAAACTTCAATCCAAATGCACGCATATGAGAGGATAGGGTGAGAAGTGTGTGACCTGCTGCTAGTGTAATTGTTGCACCTACATTTTGTCAAAGTCATGCATTGATTATATGTTTTTCTTTTTTTTATTTTCATTATTATAATTATTTTTTTTATGATTGATAAATACAGTACTGATTGATTCATTGGGTTAGAATTCAGATTTTTTTATTCAATACTTGAGATTGAGCAATTTTCCTAGTTATGATAGTTCAATTGGACAAAATTTATTTTTCAGCGCTCAGCATGCAAGAAAATTTTAGTTTTAATCCTGACTTATGTGCAGTAGAATATTTTGCGAATAACTATGTGGTGTTGAAGGATAATATTTTCTAACGGATATGTAGAATGACCTATTTATATATNCAACAGTAATGGGAGAGGGTCCCCAAATATTAGAGTGTATTAGGTCAAATGGCTTGGGTGACTGGTGCATGCGAGGAATATAATTGGCCCTAACATGTTTTGATAGGAAACAGATAACGCAATCAAGTTTACCACCAACACAAGCATTACTCAAAGCAGGAAACAACATACATAAATATTTAAAATTTGTATGTCCAAAACGGTCATGCCACAATTGAACAGTTTGTGACGAAAAATCATAACGACAACTACTAGGTAAAATACTAGCATGCAAGCTAGGAACAGAAAAAGACAAAGCAGGTGCAGGTGAAGGAATTGGTGAAACTGGAGATGGATTGCCAAGATAATACAGTCCATCTTTCTCATGTCCCTTGATAATAATCCTCCTGGTACTCAGGTCCTGCAAATAACACGAATCAGATAAGAATACAACCGCACAGTGAAAATCTCTGGCTAACTGATGTACAGATAATAGATTCATGGCCAACTTTGGCGCATGAAAAACCGAATGTAATGTAAGGCCATCTGGGAGACGGACTGTACCCCTACTAACAATAGGGGCATGTGTTCCATCTGCTAACTGAACCTGTGTATGTAATGGCTCGTCAAAAGTGGTGAAGTGATGGGCCTCACCTGTCATGTGACCATTCGCACCCGAGTCCAACATCCAAAGGGGAGATGAACTGGCACAAGCGTGAAAGGCACGAGATATACCTGTAGTGGTGACAGCAGCAGTAGTCAGACTCTGAGAAGTCAGAGCAGACATAAGTATATCTAATCGGGAAGTGATAGCATCCATATCACTTTGCCAAGGAGGAGCAGTAGCAGGAGTGGCGGTAGTGGGCGGTGGTACCTCAGCAATAGCAACAGTACGGCTGCGAGAAGGTGGCTTAAGCTCTGGATGGAGCTTCCAGCAAGTAGCCCTGAGATGTCCTGGTCGGCCACAATAATCACATTGACGGGAATCCCCCCGTCTGCGCTGATCTGGGGCGCCCTGACGGCGCTGGTCTGAGCGTTGCCCATCCCTGACTAAGGATCCTGAACGGGACCCTACAGCAGCTGCAAGGGCCATCTGGTCAATCGAAGGAGTCAAAGCTGCAACTGGAAGTGATGCAATACGGACTCGACGCTCATGCTGCTCAATCATCCCATACACCTCATAAAGAGAAGGAAGTGTCAACATCGACAAGATCTGAGAACGAGGTCCCTCAAACTCATCACGAAGCCCCATAAGGAACTTGTGAATCCTATCCTCCTGCTCTCGAGTATGCAAGAATGCTGCTCCCTCGGGCTCTAT